GTGTTGGAGAAGCTGTAGTTATTGCGGGAGCCCAGCAGAAGCACAGTGTCTCTGAGACAGTAGAGATGTAATATTGGCTGCAGGAGCTCTCCTTGGGAAGGGAGAATGGGTGAAGAAGCTATTCAGGGCCACGAATGGAAAATCCCGTTTCTGCCTAATCCTGAGAGGTCCCTCTGCTCTGTGCAGCAGTGTGATACACTTAGATGCTCCAGGGATGTGGTGGGACCATGAAATGTATGGCTGGGTCTCTGGACCTCCAAAAGCATTGCACTCCTTTCTGCTCATCGGCAGGCTTCATGCTGTGCTTTTTTTGGTCTGGCATAAAATCAGTTAAACGAGGTGGTGTAAACACAGAAAGCTTTGCAGATTTACTTAAGGGTTTCTAAACAAATACAAAAGACTGCCTGCCTTTGAGCGTGTGGGGGAGAGGAGGGGCTGGCTTGTAGGGCAAGCATCCTTCTGCGTTTACATGTTAACACTGCTGCCATTTTTTAAACAGCAATTATCAGACTAAGGGCTCAGGGCTTGCTTCATGCTCCCCTGCCCTGCTTGGGCTCTTCTGACTGTGGTGGCAAGAGGTACCTCAGCTGGACTGCTTCTTGTACGTCGTGCATGTACCAGATAGCAGCCCCTATCCTGAGCCTAAGTGTGTCATGCCAATAATAGCATCAAGTTTTCAAACTGGAGGGATACTTTTTTTTTTTTGGTGGTGGTTAATGATTAATTAGGTCAAACCCTCCCAAATTAGACTGCTGGGGAAGGAGTGGGCCGACCGATTGCATTTGTAGCAAAACCTTGCAGTAGAAACCGATGTGGGCTGATGCCAGCTCCCCTACCAACACACTCTATCCCATGCCCCAAACCCGCCAGTCCCCAGAAGAGGTTCATTTTTAAAATTGCATCCATTAATATCCCAATTTCCTTTCTCCCCCCCTTTCCAAATCTTGCGTTAAACCCCTGTAGATTCTGCTTTAAGTAGGCAATTAAGCTAACAACATAATTATATCCCTTAATGCTCATTTTAACCGGTTTTAGAGAAGAAACAAAAGGGGAAAGCAGCCTCAAATATATGGAAATAAAAGCTCCGTTGTAAGGATATTTTTGATAGTCGTGATGATTTGTGTGAGGTGCTGAGTTTGCCCACGAGTGGCTCCAGGGAAGGCAGGAGGTCGTGGTTAAGAGCCTTTCAGGCAGTGCAGGACTGCACTTTCTGAGTGTCCTTTTTCTGAACCCTCATCCGACTGCAGATTTAGGGGGATCCCATGAGGCTTCTGAGTGTGTCCACTTCGTGCTGGAGTACAGTGGCTGCATAGCTGCGGTACGAGAGCTTTCTCATTTTTTATTACCTAGGCAATTAGTCACAGGAGACCAATACAGTGAGTCCGCAAGCTGCCGCCTTGCCATATGTGTGAGCAGAAAATAGAGCGCTGCAAAATAACATTGATGGAGAATTATTGTAGTGAATCCGTGCCAATTTAGTGGAGCTGCTTTGCTCCCTGTGCAGAGGCAGATCTGGAGGGGAACGGCTGCGTAGTGCCCTCGTAGTAGCAGGCAGAATAACTTTGTGGTTTTCTACAGAGTATGCAACATCCACACAAATCTGTTTGCGAGGCACAAAGCTGTGTGAGGACCTTCCAAGCCTACAGCCAGAAAGCCGTTTTGGCATCTCAGATTTTGTTGAGGAATCCAGATGCTTGGTTGGTGCCGCCTTTCTGGGGTTAACTGGTGGCTCTGGAACATTGGTAGTGCAGTATGGACACAGGAACTGCAGATGCTGCTCTCATTTACAGAAATACGCCTTCATTTTCACTCTCCTTTACCCACTCTACTTCCAGCGAGGAAGTGGAGATGTCGTTCAGGTGCTGTGGGTCCTGGGACCAGTGAGGGTCCTCTCTCAGTGTGCAAGGGCAGTGATCTTGTTCTAGGGAGGAGGACCAGCTTCTCCACATTTTCTTGATCATTCAGGTGGAATTAAAATAAATATTTACTTTTCTTAAGAAAAAGAGCTATGAGGAGTAAGGTAATGCTGAAGCAGCTGTAATGCTTGGCAGAGTCACCTGCATGCCAGCTTGTGCTGCTTTGAGTATCTGCTCCTTTTGGCTGTCACCTATGAACACCTTGTTTTCTGGGTGCAGGGAGCTTGTATGGGGAAATATTTACACAACTGCTTCCTTAAGAGCATTGGGGACACCCGCAGGATGCTTTCTCACATGCTCAGCAGTCAATGCAGGAGGTGTTGTGAGGGTCGGAAGGACCTGCCTGCAGGTAATGCAGGCTGTGTGCATCACTGCCCACAAAAGTGCAGTGAGCATCTCTTGGAGGTATGGCTTGATGAACTGCAGCTTCCGGTAATGCAAAGAATGTGGCTTATTGTTTAATTTTCTTTATTTCAATGGTAAGTAGCCATTATTCAGTAAGATGTTTCTGTTTTTTTTGCTAAGTGGCCTGGTACTCCAGAGTAGGAATATGTTTTCCGCCTCATCCCTAATTGGGCCAAACTAGTCCATCACTGGTTGAGTTGGAGTAAAAGGAAGCCATGAACAAGATGTAGTGAGATGATGTTTTTTAGCACAGGTTTTTGGGGGCTACAGTTGGAAAAGGAGCAGGATGATCTTCCCTGTTCATGGAGAATACAATGCAGCAGCTCACTGCCAAGCGTCTGCAGGCCCAGAGCAGATCTGTGACCTGGTGCAGCTTCAGCAAACATCCGTAGCCCTGTGCTTGGGTGCCTGCTCACACACTTAGAGATCCGGAGCCGTGAGTGAGGACCTGTGGCATTTGTGAAGGGTTGGAGATGCCCCACTGAAATTGCCAGTGTGATGAAGCAAGGAATGGCTGCAGTGAAGGTATGTCATGGCCTCAGTTTGGTGTTTTGGGAGGATTGTAAGGTTCTCTGCAAGGCTCTCTTGCTCTTGCTTGGGGATGTGCTTCTCTTCTGTCCCCATCTCTCTCCGCTCAGCCTTCTCCTGGACTCAGGAGCACACCGTGTCCTTGGAATGCAGGACAGTGTGGATGCAGAGTGAATCAAAGTCGAGGTCTGGATGTGGTTTGGGGATGCAGAGACAGCCCCTGGTGTTCACTGGACTTTCACACAGATGCTCCGAGTTGTCGCGTCTTTTCTTACTTTTAATCCCACACCTGGAAACTTACGTGCAGAAAATAATTCTTGGACTTAAATTTTCCGTGTCTTCAGTAGGGTGATTGTTTGGAGATGATGTGCCATAAGACACTCCCAGAACTTTGAGTGTGCCATGTTCCTTGTCTGCCCAGGGTAAGTAGCTGTCTGTGGGACTGCCGCAGTGCAGGTGGGATCCCTTTCTGGGGGAAGTTGCCAAAGCTGGGGTATGTGAGCTTTTCCCAGCCCAGCATCTTCTGCAGTTGGTGGCTGTGGGAGGCTGCAGCAGTTGGGGAATTTCTGGGGACATATCTGAAGGGGGCAGCAGCTCTTGGCCTGTTTCTTTTTCATGCAGAGGACCACGGTTCTGTTGTTGTGGGTTCATGGCTTTTTTTTTGCAAAGGTCAGTCCTGAGATGGGTTTTGTCAGAGCATTTGTACGTCTTCACGTCACAGCTGTGGTTTTCCAGCACTGCTCTGACAAAACCTTGCTGGTGGCAGAGCTGTGCAATTAATAGATTTTTGGATTCCTTCAAGCACCAACAAATTGAAAAATTCCTTTTTGGGTTGAGCTGAAGGAAAAATGTATTGATTTTAATACATATATTTTTGAAAAATAGAAGAACAACATTTTGGGTTACATAGTGCTGGGTTGCACAGAACTTGGGGCTCGTTTCCTTTAGGTTTTTTTTTTGAACATTCTGTAGAGTTCTTGCTTTAAGAAGTAAGCAGGGTAGGTATTTTGCCTGTGTAAATCAGAAAATTTTACATGCCAATCTGTGGTCACTTCCACTTTTTGAAATTGAGTGTGATACTCCATTTATGAATAGTTCAGCAGAAGTGTCATGAATCCATGCAGTGGGCAGTCTTGCTATGGCTGCACTTCTGGCTGAACGTAATCTCCCTGCCGCTCTCTGCCCTCCTTTATTTCAGCTCCGTGAACTACAGAGAACAGAAGGTTGTCTGGGTCCATGCAGTTTGCCTTGAGAGAAAATGTCTGTAGCCCAACTGGTGGCTTAAAAATGTCACTGTGGGACTCAGAGAAGCAGAGGTTGGTGGCACAGAGTGCGCCCACTCGTTCCAGACTAAACTCCAGAAATTTCCCCCCTGTAATTACTGCTCTTTTTTCAGTTTGGAAAAATTCATCCAGCTCTGTGTGCCTTCCCCCTCCTTACTTTTAGATCAATGTGGTTTGTCTTTTTTTTTTTTTTTTCCCCTTTCCAAAGTAAAATTACCACCATTTCGTGCTATTATAAAAGCCAGTCATACAAAATTGGGCGAGAAGATTATGGTCCATAGTTAACCATCCAGTGGTAAAGATTTGTTTAGTTTCACTTCTTAGCCCTTTTCTAAATGCTGTGAGGGATTTTTCTTGTTGGAATAGTGTGGTTTATTTTATGGTGTCGGGAACAGGACCATAAGGATAACATTTTTGCTTTCATACTGTGGTCCAATGTGTGTGTACCCACCGAGGGATTTCTCATATTGCTAATTTCTGATTCTGGATACTGATTTTCTGCTTTGGATTGTCATAGATTTGACAAATATTTAATTTTCTTTACATGCCTCAGATTTAAACTGAACACTGCTAGTACCTGCGTGTGTAGTGCTGTTAATTATGGAGGGACCCAGAGCATCCTCAAAAATCTGCAAAAGAAAGAGTAAAAATGAGACTCAAATGCAGGGATCTCATGACTGCCATCCCTCACCTGCGTGAGGAGGGAGCAGCTGCTCTGGGATGTGCACCGCTCTCTGCAGGCTTAAAGGGCAAAGTTTTAGTCTTGCTAAAGCTTCTTCTAAGAAGTGCTTCATCACTGCACTCCTCCTCAGCCATGCGGTCCGTAAATCCAACTCCGGGCTCAGGTGGTTCTGTGAGGATGTTGTGTGCAGGAATTGTTTTTATTTCTTGATTTTAATGTTTTCTGATGTTTTGGTTGGGGCTTCTTGAAGGTCACAGACTTGCATCAGAGATGAGCAGGACGCTCTGTGTGGGCCTCTGTCCTTTCCTCACTGAGGAAAGGGCACAAACTCCTCACTGAGGGCTGTGGGCACAAACTGGAGCACAGGAAGCTCCATACGAACATGAAGAAAAGCCTTCATACTTTAACAGTGGCAGAGCCCTTGAAGAAGCTGTCCAGAGAGCTGGTGGAATCTCCTCCTGTGGACGTACTCAGAACACACCTGAACACTTTCCTGAGTAACCCAAGCCTAGAGCAGGAGGACAGATGATCTCCAGAGGTCCCTTCCAACCCCTGTGGTTCTGTGATTCCGTGATCTTTCATGGCTTACGGTACAGAAGCCTTTCTAGTGAGCCTTGAGCTGTTAGGTGCTTCACTGGCCTTAATGAGTATCAGGAGCTCAGGGTTGTGATGGCAGAAGTGCTCCCGTGTAGCATGGGAGCCTGTGTCCTGATTGTAGGGTTGCGTCTGAGAGTGAATTTGGGGCAGGACCTGCTGCTCCCCCAGCACTCCTCACCCCTCCAACCTCTGCCACCTCTGGATTTTTGCTCCTCTGTGATTCTCTCACTAGGTTCTTCTCAGTGATGCCCTGTGTCAGGATGGAACACCAGAGAGGCTACGGAATCTCCTCCTTGGAGACCTTCAAAAGCCACCTGGACATGGTGCAGGGCACCTGCGCTGGGCGTCCCTGTGGGAGCAAGGCTGGGACAGATAGACCCTGAGTCCTTGCCACGGAGCTAATGGAGAGCATCCAGAGAAAGGCTGTAGAGATGAGCAAGGGTCTGGAGAGCATGGACTGCCAGGGTTTGGTCGGAGGAGAGGAGGCTGAGAGGAGGCCTCGTGGCCTGCAGCTCTCATGGCCGGTGCTTCCTGCTGTGCGGAGGCTGGATGGCTGCTGGCATCCACTGTCAGCAATGGCCGCTCCATTTCAAAGCACAGCATTCCTACACAGAGCCAAGAGATGCACCTCTGCTGTGTGGCCAAGAAAACGTGTTTAACAGAGCTTTTGTAGTAAGATGTGTGGGATTCCGTGTAGAAGTGAGTCCAATTTTAATTTTCCCTTCACGTGAGCTTGTCTCGTGCAAGATCGGTTTGTTTTATCAACTTGGAAAAGTGCCTGCAACAGGATTTTGTAAGAGTTGATTTCCTGCGAGTTTCCTGTGAAATTGGAAACCTGCAGAAATGGGTGGATTTCTGAAATTCTATTGTGTGGGTTTTCTCCTTCTTTTTTTTTCCCCGAGTAAAAAAAGAACCGTGCCCTCCTCCCCCCGAGCTCTCATTCCGCATACATTTATTCCTGAAAAATATTTCCAGCTGTTTCTTTTTCTGGGAAACTCATACCATCTGTAAACAAGTGCCTGATTCAGATAATTCTGTTATTTTGCCTGGTCACTCTTATTTTCCAGCTTTTAATAATGCGAGAGTTGAGGAGCAATCAGTAATGGTTTTTCTCCTCTTCACCCTCAATTTGATTATTTTTCTCATAAAGAGTGGAGTAAGGAGAGCGCTGAGCAACAGGAGATGGGAAAAATATTTTGATTACTTTTCGGTTGCTTATCATCAAGGAGTAACTCTTCTAATCCAGGCCAATTTGCCGCATTGATTTAATTCATAATTTTAATTTCATGACTTTTCTGAAAAAAATAAAAACAAAAACATAAAGAATAAAAAAACTGAAACCACCCAAACCGCAGAAGACAAAACCAGCAGCTCAGCGAGGTGCGTCGGGTTGAAGCTTTTTAATACTTGTTTGAACAGTTGTAGTTTTAGGTTAAAATTTATTTAATGTTCCCTTTCTTCTGTCTACTTCTGCCAGAATATTCTACTTGAATTTCCCTGCGCTGCCACAAGAGAAAAATTGAAATTCAAAGCACAGATTCTGCCAGTGCTTTCAGCGAGTTCATAAAATTACTCATATGAATATTCCCTTGACTCAAAGGCAACTGCTTGCAGTCCTTAAACCTGTCTGGGACTACCTGAAGTATTGGGAGCCCAAACAAATGGTAGGTGATGAGGAAATCCTGGGTGCTTCAAAGGCTTTTTTTTTTTTTTTGGTTCAGTTTTGAAGCAAAAAGCTCTGGATTTGCTGAGTGCGTGGCTGAGCCGGTGGCACTATTTGTTTTTTCCCCCTTGATACCAATAAGCTGACATGAAATCTGGAGGATGGTTCTCGATCGGTGCTATGGCTGTAACTGGGAGAAGTGTGGAGATGTGCCAGAAGTGTCCCGCTGCTGGCTTCGGTGTTAGCTCAGCTCTCCTGGTGAAGAGCTGGCAGATCTGCACCTTTCCCAGCAGGGATTGCAGCTCTCCAGCATGAAGCTTTTTAGGACTTGTGCTTATGAGTTGCTGAGAGCTCCGGAAACGGGTGGCTGCAGGTGGAGTACCCACATTGTTAAATTAAGCTTGTACAATGGAAAGGGAATGATAAGCAAGGAGTAAAGACAGTGAAATGTCATGCAAGTAGTCTCTAGATTGTGATAACTTTGTTTGTTTGCTTGTTTGTTTGTTTGCCTGCTTTCAGTTTTGCCTCCCAAGCTCCGATTTTCTGTTCCCAACATAAGAATTTGTGGAAAAGTTTGAGCAAACCCAGTTCAACTGTTCTCAAGACCAAACAATATTACAAATAATAATAATAATAATAATAACAATTAAAAGAAAACTAGATCTTCCAGTTGAAATTGGCATAGAGAGAGTCCCTGGGTTCAGGAAGTAGAACTGAAACTGAGTGTGGAAAGCTTCGTTCCCCTTTCAGCTTTTCCAGTGGAATCCCGTGCTCACACCTGAGCTGTGGGCTGCCCTGTGCAGCTGGGCTCCAGGCCCCATCACCAGCAGTTTGGGAAGCGCTGCACGGTTTTGTGGCAGCTGAGGACCTGCAGGAAGCAGAGTGCTTCCCAGGTGTACAAACGTTGTGATACATCATCAGCCTCTCATTCCCCCTGCTAATGCAGGGATGGGCACCCTATGTGTGTGCGACCTGGTGAGCACCTTTGGCTTCTCCTTTGCGGCTCCATGGGGACTGGACCATCGCCTCTGTATCTGAGGTGAGTCCTGGAGTGGGTCCTCGCCCTGCTCTTGGCTGTTCTCACACAGCCTGGTCATCACTGCTGGGAGCCACAACCCATGGCTGCTCGATGACACCGATGGGCTGTGCCTTAACATTTTCTTTGCCTTTTGCTCTCTCTGGGACATTGGCCACCATCAGGAAGCTAACCTTAGGTGATGCTGTTTTGAAATTGCTCATTAACAGCTTGTTTCTTTTTACAACGAGAACGAGTCCAGAAGAGGCCACTAAGATGGTCAGAGGGCTGGAGCACCTCTCCTATGAGGAAACGTTGAGGGAACTGGGCTTGTTTAGCTTGGAGAAGAGGAGGCTGCAGGGAGACCTCATTGTGGCCTTCCAGAACTTGAAGGGAGCAGATAAACAGGAGGGGGAATGGTTGTTTGTGAGGGTGGATGGTGATGGGACAAGGGGGAATGGCCTTAAACTGAGACAGGAGAGGTTTAGGTTGGATATTAGGAGGAAGTTTTTCCCTCAGAGGGTGGTGAGGCACTGGCACAAGGAGGCTGTGGATGGCCCATCCCTGCAGGCATTCAAGGCCAGGCTGGATGTGGCTCTGGGCAGCCTGGGCTGCTGGTTGGTGACCTGCACACAGCAGGGGGTTGGAGCTGGATGAGCACCGTGCTCCTTTGCAACCCAGGCCATTCTAGGATTCTGTGATTCTATGAGCACCAGATTCCAGCAGGTATGAGCCGTCCGTGTAGATGTGGTGCACGAATGAGGCAGCTGTTCAGTGAATCTCCTGAATTACCCCCGGCTAAACAGGCACCAGGCATGCAGGTGTGGTGGCCAGGTGAGGACAGGCAGGCTAGCAGTGGACTCATGTGCCGTCACATCAAGGACCCTCAGGTGCCATCACCACATTTGGAGTCACTGTTACAGTTTGTGCTGAATGGTCTTTGGAAACTGAAATGTTGAGATGAATCTGAGTAAAGCTGGGTTTAAATAACATGAATGGCAGATGTGGATGTACACCATTGGTTCTGCATCCTCTTGCACTGGGTGAGCAGCGTACAGCCTGAAGGAGGTGTCAGTGAGGGTGCTGGAATGGACACCAGAGGGTGGACCTGTCCCGGTTGGGTTTTCCCCCTTGCCACAAGAGGAAGAAGCAGCTTCTTCCTCTACGTGCTCTGCTTTTATGCTATGCCCGAGGAAAAGAAATGCCCCTGGATGCTCACCCCTGATTTTGGAACTGCTCTGTGTCAGAGCAGACCCCATGTGTGCTCAGCTCTACCAGGGGCCGGTGCTCCCTGCCCTCATGGAGGAGGTGCTTGATGGAGCTCAGATTTCCTCCTTTCTGAATCTTTTTTTATTGTTTTGGTTATTTCTTGAGCTGCAGCTGAGGAAATAGGGAGTGCATTCCTCTTTCTGATGGGCTTATTTGTTCCCTCATGGAAAACTCAGTGCTGTCTGATGCTGGTGCTGCCCCTATGGATGTGCTAAGGAGAAGAGCAAGGATGGGATAAGCCAAAGCTTTCCAGAGCATCAAAGACCATTTTGCCTCGTTTAGGCGATGCTTTGCCTCTGGGAAGCACACAGGCATGGCTGCTCAGCTCTCCCACCTGCTCAGTGATGCCCTTTGCCTTTAATTAAATCTGGGGGAGATCACAGGGCTTGGGAGAGCTGAGAAGAGCAAGGTGGGTGATGTTGGGTCTGTGTTGCCACTCAAAGTTCAGGACTTGAGCTTTTCCTTAGCATCCCATCATGACAGCAGGAACCAAGGCTGCAGGTGTATTGCTTGGTCCATTGTGATGTGGATGTTTTGGTGCAATGTGGGGTTCCTTCTCCCTGTTTTTTCCTTTTTTCTCTTTAATGAAAGTTAAACAGAAGACTGCCAGCATCTTAACCTTTGTTTATTGAAAAAAAAAAAAGAAAAAAACCAAACCACTTCCTGCACGTTGTGTTGCTCTGAAGTTAATAATCACAGGCAGAGCAGGTAGGCAGGCCGGCAGTTATTTTTATGGCACATTCCTTTGCAAGACCTGTTTTCAGTTGGTTATTCTGGTGCCAAATTTTAATTATTTGGAGTGAAATTTTCCATGCTGAGTGTGTGCTCCTGGCTCCTTCCTGACCTGTACGTGTGCTCTGTGTTCCGCCAGAAAGGACTTAGCTCTCTTTTGCAATGCACTCAGATCCTTTTTTGTCTTCTTTTCCCCTTTTTCTTCCCCTCAGGTAAAACAAACAATTCCACCCTTTTACAAACAATCTGTGGCTTTAAGCTCTCCTTACCGCCACTTTGGGAGAGGCTGTGGAAGGACCTCATAAGTTTCGGTAAAAACACAGAATTGTTACCATGGGTGTGAGCAATTAATTCATAGATGCATTAATTAACAGAGGTGGGATCCAGCGTGGCACAGGTCTCGGTGTCACAAACCCTTGCTTACATCAGCCCATGTTTTGGGCGTGAGCTGTGTAACCATAATTGAAGCTGGTGCTTCAGTCTTCCAAAATCTCATTTCGCATCTTAATGCTTTTTAGTTATGTTGTTGCTTCTCAGTAACTGTTAATTTTATTTTCAATTTTCCCCACATAGTGTAGCCCTTTCTCTAAACACACGTTTCTGGGTCAGCTGTGCATCTGCTCGAGCTCCTAATTTTTGACACTTTCTCCTGTTAGGAGATGCTGACTGATACATTTCTTATTTATCTCATGGTTCACTTTCTGCTTGTGTCGGGGAACATATGGTCAGAAAGCACATTCTGGTTTTGTGCATTTTAATTTAATAGCTATTTATCTGTGTTAGTTTTGTGTAACTACCCTCGATGTACCAGACATGAAAGCAGCTTTAGGAAGTCGTATTTTGAACTGTAAATTATTTAATGCTGTGTTACCATTACAAGTGGGAGCGTTGTCTCCATTGCAGCTCTCCATGCACCCCATCCTCACAGACTGGCGGGCCGGGACGAGCCCTGCTGCTCTGCTTCCTCAGTTCAAAATGAGGAAATCATTCACATAACGAACTGGGTAAGCTGGAGGGAAGATTTCTCTTTGCCCTTCCTGAAGACATGACTCTGTTGAACACTGCTTGGAGCCGTTTCAGCACGCTCAGGTTGGGGGCGCTTGAATGGTGACATGCAGCGATGGACGCATTGAGTTCTTTGGATATTTCTAGTCTTTGGATGTGAGTTTTGAGAAGTTAAATGTAATGTTTTGTTTTACGTGGATGAAGGGGGATGTTGGGCTCACAGCAAGCCGTGGGTTGGGCTGCTGAGCCATGGGCACCTCTGAGCCAACACTGCACCTGCAAACATGGCTGCTTAGGTCTGTGGCCGGGGGCTCCTTTCTGAACCTGATATTTGCTTTGTGATTGATGAGGTTTGGAGCTGCCCAATGGGGTCCTCAGCGTTATGTCACAGTCACCTTGCTGGCAGCATTTTTGTTGGGATAGGCTTATTTAAGCAGCTGTGAACCTTTTGTAGGGCTGTATCTGATTTCCTTCAGCCTTGGCTTGCTCTTTAGGTCTGTTGGATCCATGCTAAAGGGACAGGTGTGGGCTTGCAGCAGCCCCAGATGACCGTGCTGCTATCATCAGTGGGACTTCGAGCATCTTCCCATGTGGGCAGGCTGGGGGCTGCTTTTCTTCTCCTTAGGAGCTTATAAACAGGAGACGGACTTTTGGTGTGGGCAAGTGGTGATAGGACAAGGGGGAATAGCTTTGAACTGAAAGAGAGGGGATTTAGGTTAGGTGTGAGGGGGAAATCCTTTCCTCAGAGGCCCCAGCACTGTGCCCAGAGCTGTGGGTGCCCATCCCTGGAGGTGCCCCAAGCCACAGATGGGCCCAGGGCAGCCTGAGCTGGGGGGCAGCCAGTCTATGGCAGGGGTGGGGATGGGGGCTGTGAGGGCCCTTCAACCCAACTGTGCTGTGATTCTATGCTAAAGCATCTTGTCTGGTTGGAAGCCATCTTCTATGTGTCCAGCCTGCTAATTCTATGCTTTTGTTGCCCTCTTTCTCATATATTTTAATAAAAAATATTTTAAAAAAAAAAGTTTTGTTGCTTATATTCATTAACTATATTATATATTTTATATGAGGCCTAAGACAATTCCTCTTCACTCAGGGTTGTCCCAGGCAAGCCAACAGGTTGTACACCCATGGATTCTGTGCTGAGAGCTCCCATCTCCTGTGGTTTCTCTTTTCTCTTTGGAAGCAGAGAAGTCTCTCACACCATCAAACCTCTCTTTGTGTGCTCCTCACACACCTCTCACCCTTAGCACTGATATTTGTGGCATCATGAGAGAAGGGAGGCCCAAGAATTGCTGAGTAAAAGAGGTCAAAAAGCAAAAAAACCTGTTGTTAGAAATGGCATTTCCCAACAGATCTTCCCCAAATAGCACTTCCTAAGCCAAAACCTTTCCCTGAGGGTGGCAGCACTGGGTGCCAGCAGGTGATGGGCCTGCTGTGTGTGTGGGTCCCATGGGGACGGTGGGGGCCTATTGGGCCCGTGCTGTGGCAGCTGTGGGGCTGCGCTGCCCTCCCAGACGTGCGGCCCTGCGGTGCCATCATGGCTGGGTTTTGCAGAAATCTGAAGGGATGGGCACTGGTGTCCCCAAATCTCAGTGGGATTTTGGATGATGCCGACCCCTCAGCACCTCACGGGGCTTCTGCCCTGCCTTTGTACCAAGTCTCCTTTTCATCTTTTCATTTTTTTTTTCTTTTTTATCTTTTTTTCTTCTTTTTTGTACACACAGATCTAATCTTCTAGAAAATGCCCCGAAGGTTTGAGCAATCTGCCAGTTGCAGGAACCCATAAAGCTTTTTTTCTTTTTCTTTTTCTTTTTTTTTTTCCATTGTGTAAGCATGACAAATCATTAATTTTTGATTGATTGCTTTGAATTATGGGTGCTCTGACATCCTTTCTGTAGCCGAACAGCTGTATAACAAATGAACATATCAGCGCTCACAAAAGATTGGAGATCTAACAGAAGCAATTACATTGTCAGCTCCTCCCTTCTGGCTTTTCCCAGGCAATGGAGGGAGGAAATTTTTTAACAGAAATTCCTCAAGTGGCTAACAATAATAATAAAAAAAAATAACTTTTTGTAATTCAATTAGATTTTTATCTCTTCATTTCCAGTGGATTTCGAAAGCGTTGGAAGCCAGGATGCCTTTCTGCTCTCTGTAATGCAGGGAATCCCTCTGAACAAAATTTCACACGAAGAATTAAAAAATAAGAAAAAATGAAATTGTGATTTTCGGCTGCTACTCCTTTAAGATTTCAGAATTGCACCACTGCACTAAATGTGACCTCCATAACTTTTAAATTAAGAATTTATGCTGGCTTGAAATTTATGAAATATTTCAGCATGAAAGAAAGCCTTTTTCCCTCAGGAAAATTGAGCAATAAATCACAGCACTCTCGATTTACTGCCCTACAGCCAGCCAAAGATAGGATTTTTTTTCCTTCCCCCCTTCGTTCTGAAAAAAAAAATGTAATCATATAAGACAGCTTAGCTGCTATCCTCCCACTCTCTAGAATTTTTAATTTCAGCTGTTTCTGCTTGGATTTATTTCCAATATTCCTGCTCGGCTTTTCAATTTCCTCAGTTATTAAATTTTAATTCAGTGCATTAGCATTTAAATTAAAAAAGGGTTTATTTTATCGAAATCGTTGGCTAGCCCCCATCCTGCTGCACATGAATTGCCTGTTTCTGCCATTTGCACAAAATGTGAAATGCAGCTAATATCTTTTAACTTATATTTGCACAAATTCAGAAATAAAATTTCTGGGTTTGGAATAATATTGTCTTTCCAAGGAAGGCTCTAATCAGAGAGCCGGGGAATGGAGGCAGGGAGGAGGCGGCCCCGTGTCCGTCCCCTTGCCGTGAGCAGGGATGGGATGGGGCACCCGTGGGAGCAGCGCGGGCTGGGCCGGGTGTGTGTGGGACAGGGACGTCAGGGCTGTGCTCCCCAGAGCCCCTCATCAGGAGGAGAGAGGCTTGGAGCTGTGGTTTGGGATGAGGAGGGGTGGAATTGAGGAGGTTGGGTTGACGTGGGTTGGGATGATGCCTGGCGTCCCCACTGCCCGATCCAGTCCGGCGCAGCGATTGCAAGGCACTGTGGTGGTTTTTTTGGTGTGAATTTAGGCCGTCTGAGCATGGATGCATTGAATTTGGATATTTACTTTCTGTAAGTTGGATGTTTCGGCCTTATTTTCCTCTTGATTCATTGCTTCAAACTTTGTGGGGCTGCGGCAGAATGTAGTAAAATGGTTGCAAGAGCAATATCTCCAGTGTTTGCTGCTGGTTGAGTATTTTTGGAGGAGAAAAATAAAATCACCTCCTTGGTGAGCTGTGTCTGAAGTCCTGCCTTGGTCTGCTGAAAGCTGTGGGCTTGGGCTGAAGTGTGTGGAACATTCTGCCAAAATTGAGCACTGAGGATTTGTGCAACTCAGGGTGGTTTCGGTGCAAGGTGCACCAGAAGAATTAGAGGACAGCGCTGTATTCTTAACCTAAACCGCCTTTTTTAATGTCTTCTGTCTTTCAGGCTGACGAAAGCAACAGCAGTGGGAGGAGGAGCTCTTCTAGCAGGTATGGAACAGATTTCCCTCCTTTGTGGGGATGTGGTGTTCAGCTTTGCTCAGCTGCATTCCCCCTCTTGGAGATGGATGGCAAAGAGCGACTGCATGAGGAGGATGAGCTGGGAGCTGTTGGGAGGGCAGTGACTGCACACCACATGTATAGTTTGCTGGAGGTGGATGCAAGGGAGATAATTCTAGCTATGGGGACTGTGAGGAGAAGTGCCTGTGCAGTGCACGTGTCTCTTTGTCTCCCCATGCATGAGCATGCTGTGGTGAAAGACCAGCTCTGGTTGTGGCTCTTCCATGATTCATATGCAGCATAGCAAATTCCTAGCCTGTGTTCCAAAGGTTCTGTGGTAAAAACAGGTGGAGATGTAGGAGCTGAGTGATGCAAGGGTTTAAGTGGTGACAACATTGAAGTTGTATTGGAGGAAAGCACATGGCATGGCAAGGGGAGTGGGCTGCAGTGAATGGGAGTTGGAGAACAAGAGTTGGAGAATCATAGAATGGATGAGGTTGGAAAGGATCATTTAGTTCAATGGCCAATCCACCCCCAACGTGCCCACTGCCACAAGTGCCACATCTCCACAGTTCTTGAACACCCGCAGGGACGGTGACTCCACCACTCCTTGGGCAGCTTGTGCTGCCCAAACACCCTTCTGGAGAAGAAAATTTTCCTAATGTCCAGTCTGAACCTCCCCTGCCTCAGTGTGAGGGCATCATCTCGTCCTATCGCTGTTACCTGGGAGCAGAGGCTGACCCCGCCTCACACAGCCTCCTCTCAGCAGTAGCAGAGCACTGCCATCTCCCCTGAGCTCCCCTTCCCCACGCTGACCCATCCCAGCTCCCTCAGCCGCTCCCCATCACACCTGTGCTCCAGACCCCTCACAGCTCCATCCCATCTCTGGACACGCTGCAGGGCCTCCGTGTCTGCAGTGCAGTGAGGGCCCAGCACCGAGCGCAGCACTGAGCTGCGGCCCCACCAGTGCCGTACAGAGGGACGATGCCCTCCTGCTCCTGCTGGCTGCACTGCAGCTGACACAAGGCAGGCTGCCGTGGGCCTTCTTGGCCACCTGGGCACACTGCTGCTCCCCTGCTGCCGGCTGTCAGCTCACACCCACAGAGCCTTTTCCTCCGTGCAGCTTGCCAGCCGCTCTGCCCCTGCACCTCGTGAGCCATGCTGGCTGAGCCTGATCCCCTGGTTGGTGACAGGGAAGAAGGTGATGGCAGGGATGGCAGGGAGGTGCCATCACAGGGTGGGGTGAACCACGGAGCACCCAAAGCACATTTGTGGGTCACATCGTTGCCTACGGCAGATGATAAGCAACAGAAAACAGCAGTGAGTTTGTCTGTTGTGGGCAACGCTTGCATGGTGCCAGGCTTCGCCCCGACCTGGTGCCACCTCCACCTGCTGTCACTGCCTGGCTATGGGCACCTCTGGGGCACCCAGTGGATAGGGCGCCGTGGGTGGATTTTGGCAGTGCCAGCACCCTTCTCATGCAGAGGAAAATTGAGGTTTTCCCAGTTTTGGGAGGCTCATTAAAGAAAACCACTGGTGCTTGCACTCAGGATGGCTTGAACAAAGCGCTGGAAGGAAAACCACTTCAGCATCTTCCTACTGAACAAAAGATGGTCACAAAAAGCAAAATAGCAAAATCTGTTCAAATTTAATGGGAAGCTCTGCCAGTGGCTGAACGTTGAAATTTGGTTTTGACGGCATCAAACCGTTAGGGCTGGCAATACAAGGTGGTTGTTTTTCAAAGTTGTTCCTGCTTGAATGTGTCTCATTAATTGCAAGCTATCGTATAAGCTTTTAACTGTTAAGTTATATCAGGAAGATGTGTAAGCCAAATAAGGCTTCCAGGGCATCTTTACCCTTTTCTTCTGTTGGTATTTTTTTACTAGCTGTTTAGTAGCTCCATCTTAATGTGGTGACCACAGTATTGGGTTGCTCCTATTTTTATTTATTTATCACAGCGAATTGATTTTATTCTGTTTCAAGTAAATGTTAAAAGCTCTGAAGGCACAGGATTTTTCTGATCTTATCACCTCTGCAGCTCTGATCGGGCCCGGCTGCTGCCTTTGAAATAACACTGGTTCAGCATGCAGCTGTTTTCAGCTGAGAATTGGTGGTGGCAGAAAGAACTGTGTTTCCTACCTTATTAAATGGTGTGTGGATCCTGTACCTCACTGTGTGCTTATTAATGGGATATTGTGAAAAACAAGGAGAATTATTAGGAGCATAGAAAAAAATTCTTCTTTTAAGGGAGTGAAAGGAGACATGACTGTTTGCCTTGGAGAAGATGACAACTAAAAGACAACATGACAAAGCTTCTCGCTCCGGAGAAGGTAGATCACAGACTTTCTCCTTTTGCAAGCAAAGAGTCAGTCAACAAAATTAAAAGGTGGGAAATTGAAAGCCAGTAACAAGAAAGGTTGTTTTTTTTTTTTGCTTGTGTGATGGGCAACTGGAGCTGTGGGAGCATAGAGCCAAAAGCCGAGCAGAGGGGCTCAGAAGGAACCCAACTGGACGATGCCGTCTGTATGTGGTGTGGACTCTATTGGAGCAGGGCCGTTTCCTGGAGCTCAGGTATCCCTCTGCTGTCTCTGGAAAGTTCCCGGAGCCTTGAAGCCCCATCTGTACGAGGTGGAGCAGTTTGAGCCCCGTGTGCCATCGCTGGGGCTCCCAGGAAGGCAGGCAGCGTGGAGCAGCGCTGGGGAGGCAGACCTAGGGGTAATTGCTGGGAATCTCCATCACACCAGTGTGAAACAAACTACTTACCAGTAATTAATGTCAGCGTTCAGATGGTGGGCTCTGGGTCTTGACAAGAAATAATTGAAAAACCAAATGTGCAATTATGTCTGACAAGCAGCGCGTGCTTTTCTTGGTCACCAGAGCCTTGTGTAGTCATGTGTTAGACACGTTTTATATAATTATTACTGTTTATGTGGTGGGTGTCAGAGGAAGGAAGAATTTTAGTTTCACGTCCTCTGTTGGCTATTTATTTTAAAGTCATTAGATTTGTTTTCAGACTTAACTACACTTAATGTGCGAGACTCCTGCTGAATAAATCAGACCCTGGTATTGGAATTGCATCTGTTTGCGGAGGGAATGGAGCCAACTGGAAGCTCAGCCCCCATCTGCACAAGGGCTGTCACCAGCCAGGAGCCCGCTTGCAGAGCAGATGTAGCTGTGCTCCATGCCCAAAGCAGGGGTGAATCCCAGAGCTGCTGGGGCTGCGAGCTGGCTGTGAGGGTATGGATGGTCTTGACTTTACTGCGCTGTTATGGGGGTTGCAGAGAGAATGGGAGCTTTCTTGGAGGCGGAGTTCCCAGCAGCCCCTCAGGCTGGGGCATGGGCATCTCCCAGCTCTCATACAGCACAGTTTTCCTCTGTGCACCAGCCCAGGCCGTGGTGCTCAGGACGTCTGGCAGTTTTGTCTTTAGCGACATGGTGCTGTCAGGAGAGGCTGTGTTTTGGTAGACCAAGACAGCTGGGAAAATGATGTATGCTGCTTTGTCTGCCGTACCCGGATTTCAGCAGTTCTTTCATTCATGATATCTCTTCAAAAAAAGATCTAATTTCAATAAGGTGAGTGAAGAAAAAACTATTTCAATAACAAATTTCCAACTGGAGGAGAACATACCCCGAAATGGTCACATATACTTTGCTCCTCAGTTGCTCCTTTGCCTGAATGGTGGCATCTTTCCTCCTTCCCTTTGCTCGTTCTGTACCTTGCAGGCACATCATCCTTAGTGGCTGTGTTACCCTCAGCCTCTCGCAAAGGGATGCGTGTGAGTGTTTCTGAGAAGGAAAGCTGTTTAAACGGTTTCCCTTTTATTTAAAAGACCACCTGGGAGATTTTCAGCCCCAGAGCATGAAGAGCTTAAGACACCCTACATTAGAAAGAGAGGAGTATTAATAATTAGGCAGGCTATTTAATAGCCTTGGTGCTCTCAGGATTCTCACCAGCCATCTTCAGGAAGGAACAAACAGAGCAACAAACAAAGCAGCTAGCTGATAGAAGAGGAGCAAACAGTTCAATTCTGTGCCGAGATGTGGACAAAAACCGTGAGAAACCCATGAAGGTTTCCTTGAAACCCAAAAGGAGGTCGGAGTGCCGTAGATGCGCATGTGAAGGGAGAGGCGGCAGCACACAGATGCATCCCAGCTCCCGGGGGACCAACTTGTTTTCTGCCATACTGCTAAGCATCAGAGCCCAGGAGAGCTTCTGGAGACATGAGGCGGAGCGGGGCTTCCTTCTGTGAAGCACTGAGCAGAACTAACAATAATGCCTTCAGCAAAGCAGGGTTACCAGGACTTGGTTTTCCTTCGGCCATCCGCTCTCCTGGGCAGATCGGGGCTGTCCTGCTGTGGCCTGCAGTCTGCTGTTTGAACACGCGCCCATCTCCAGCAGCAGGACATCTGCCACCTCATCTTAGCCGCTCTCCAGCTGAGGAGTTCTCCCAGTCCTGAGGTCCTGCTGCTGTTCTCTCCCATGTGCTGGTTGTGTCCCGCTCCTCACACTGTGCCAGTGCTGCCTGTGGCTTCGTGGCTGGCGCTGGGGTGGGCTGCACCGTGCCGGGACCTCTGGGGCTTTGCAGGCCTCAGTCATTTCTGAGCAAGCAACGCAGAGCTCTTTCAGTGAATAAATCCTTTACTCTGTTTTTCCCTGAATTTTTTTGTCTCTGTTGACATTACCGTGCTGAACATTTAAAGAAGCTGGCAGCTATTCTATTATCATCTTAAATTTAGTTTTTAACCTGCATCATTTGTATGTCACACTTCTTATCAGACTGAATTCTTTTGCTTTTGGCGAGCGCTGAGCGTTTGTTTTTTGTTGGATAAGCCATCTTTTCTTTAATTTGGTTCGACTTTCCTCTTCAAACCACTCTCATGATACTCCTAATAAGGACTTAAGGGAATTTGTTTTGCTAATAGCTGAGGAATTCTTTCCGACTCTTCGCTGTTGTCTTGGTTTGTGTTTTAATGTTTATTTTCTAGCGGAG